ACCGAATATCGATGAGCTAAATCGATATTCGGTCTATATATCGATAAACTACAGCTCGATTTTTGGGCAATTAATTGGCAACACGCAACCGTTAAACATGTTCATTCAAATTCATATAGAAGCTTAGTTTTTTTATTATTTTGTACTTTTCTTATTATAGGATTTACATTATATTTAATTTATATTACATTGATTTGTTATTAGAAATTAATTACTGATTCAGAATCGATTGTCAATTATTACTTTGAAATTGAATAAATGATGCCTTTGTTATTAATATCCAGTGTTCGTGTGACATTATTATCGACCTCTTCAATCTTGTCGAAGAAAAACAAATCAATCGAACAGAACTTGAATTTGAATTGAATTACTTAAATTTAAACAGAAGTTGCATTACTTAGAAGCTGAACAAAGATCCAGGAGAGGATGATCAATTAGGTGAGTCCTACCACAAACAAGTAAGTAAGGAAGAAAATAGATAGACAAAATAAATAGTAAACAGAGAAAATAATTCTCATAGACAGAATATATTGAGTAAAAAACAATAAAATGATCATTAAGTCGATAGTTATACAGTATAACAATGCAAATAATACATCAATAAGATTAGAGATAACTATATCTTTGAGATTAATAACGAAGTCTCGGCCATGGATTCAAGATTTGCCAACGTAAAATTTATTTTGGATTATAATACAAAAAATATTATTTTTATTTAAAATATTTTGGTTTTTGGAAAGGAGTTTTCATCGAATTATGTTGTTAATTTACATGGGAGCGAAAAATGTACATTTAATATTTTAGTAATCTTTTCATCATTTACAATTTGGTATAACTTAAGAGTTCGATTGTCAAATTATTGCTTAAACATTATTTGTGAGAAATAAAGGAAAAGTCGGCGAGCCTGTGGTAAATAGGATGCAGATGGGCGGTCGACCAGGGCATTCCGACGTGGCTCTATGCTTTTCTTATTTGTTTTTTTTATATAGAGTTCTAGTACATTACGATACAAGTATAGGAAAGTAAATTCTTGTCTCGTGTGGCGTTTACACCCGAGCAAAGCGAGAGTGGAAAGGTACACGAGATGAGAAACTCCTTCCCGAACATGTGCCGTGCCGTATTTTTTGATACAACGTATGGCAAGTGCAATTTTCAACGCACGTTTTCTGCCAAAGACACACTTTGCGCACGGAGTATCGAAAACGATTTTCCTCTATTTGGCACTGGTCTGCATCTTTCGTAACGAAAATTTTACGAAATTGATTTTGAAGCAAAAGGCGCCCAACCTTGCTCTTTACCGAAAAACGAAGGTTTTCATTTAATTTATTTGTAACTATTTATTTACATCCACGAGCGTATTTCTCAGAACGTTTGAGGCACGAGACGTAATTCTTAGAAGCTCTACTCAGTTTACGCTTTTGCGTGTGAACCTAGATGAGTTTTCATTATAAACAAAAGCTTTGGCGTGTGCTTCTATTATTCTTGAATGTGAATAAGTCAACCTGTTGTGCGATAGCATGATATTCGCTTTACTTACTAACATATATGCATAATATAATATAATGGTATAATACTGTAATTCCAACGGGAATGGAAGCTTTCTGAAGAATGAGTTGTTTTTTATCGCCTTAGACCGTTCAAGAAATTGGTTGGAGTTACTAGCTGCGGTGGTACGGTGCCTGTTTTACCGCTGTAGATGGTATTGTTTAACGTAGAAATCAACTAGTCGAACCCATCGATTCGCATTTCCGTGACTGTTATACTTTCTATTAGATTTGAATTAAACGCGTTAGCGTTTTCTCGAGAGCTGTCATTGATTACGAGCTGCTCTAGCGTTTCTACGTTGCGTTTTTGAGAGCTGGAGAACGCCTCAAAGTCCATTAAAACCGACTTTATTATGAACGTCTATTCTTCAGTAGGGTGACTACACCTGTTGTGTATTTGTTCAAGTCATCAATCTGTTTGTTTATTAGGAACTTGCTAATTGACCAAACTGCGTTAATTAGGCATCTTTTATCTACCGCTTAGATCGATTAGGTTACCAAGATTAGACATCCTTGCACTAATTTTCCTTTTCAAAGCTACCACACTTATCCTATGATTACATTCGGACTGTCGATCACAATACGTGTCGAGATCGCTGGTGAAGCGTGAAAGTTGACTACCCTCTCTGATCGCTTCTTGAAGATCCACGAAATGAATGGTCATCCAAACTTCGTGATAAAATCTCGCCTTGAACAACTCTTCTCTTAATATAGGCGTGTCGAAGGAGATGAATGTATAGGGCTCGTTAAGGCCCCATGCGAAACTGATCCTCAAGAGTAGAAGTACCACCAGTATCTAAAGAAACAAAGTTATTCCACAAAAGGCTTTGTGTCATTAATATGTTAATTATGTTCCATATTTTTAACTTAATATGTTAGTGTGTGTGTGTCAGTATTCAGGTGTGTGACTATATAAGATCCTACCCATAGATTGGACAAGAGTGTAGTCTTTAAACTTTTACTTTTCACTAGGATTTTATCTCCGATATTATATAGTGGCGTAGGCCTTTTTTTTTCTTTTCGACACTTCTTGCTCATATTGAGCTTTACTCTTGAGCAAGTTTGCTCTTATTTCCTTCAGCTTATTGCGATGATTTCGTTGAAACTCGTCCATGTATCTAGCTGCGTCTTATGACTTTAGCTGAGTAAACGTCAAAAGCGCTGAAATATTGTGCTCGTTGATTTTGCGAAAATCCACAACAACTTACCATTTCTGTTTGGCGGCTGTCCTTTTTCTTCGGAACTACTAATAACGGAGCCGAGTAAGAACTATCTGATTCTTCTACAGTATCCTTCTCTAGCATGTCCTATACGTGTTCGTTAATAATTTCCTACTGAAAAGGAGGATACCTGTACTGCTTCGTCAAGGTAGGAGTAATTGTGTCCAACTGAATGGTATGTTTAACTCCCTTCATAGCATGGCTGATAATGCATTTCTTGGTAGGAAGAATCGATCGCTGAAGTCGAATATCACTTTCATAAGTTCATCCTGCTCTTTTGAGGGGACATATTCCAGTTGCGTTAATTCATATAAAAAGCGCTCACGTTCGATTATATCTTTTCCGACGATTATGCGATAAATTTTAGGAATTTTATCACTTACTTCTTTTAATTGCACCTCATCGCATTCCTCTATCACTATTTGATTGCTATATGTCAGTTTAACTTCCATTGTTTGGTTAGATATGACTAATAGCACTTCATTATTGCGCGTCTTGGCCAAAACTGAAACGTTTTCGTTTTCTTCGACGATAATTGTGGTTGATTCCTTAAAATTGTTGGTTTTTATGAAGTGTATTTTCGTTGTGAGTGGGCCGGTTTCCAATGGTTTATCATTGATTGGTTGTTAAAGGGCTCGAAATGAGCTCGAATGGGGCTTTCTCTCCTTCTATTTTTTTTGTTTGTGGTGGCTGCTATGGCCGTGGAGAATGGGGGTGAGCTACTCTTAAAGGAGAGGGCCAGATGAGGGCTGCTCTTAAGAGTTTGGCTCACAGGATTATATTATATTATTATATTATTATCCCCTTACTGTTCACGCGGGAAAAGACATTTCTTGACCCCGTGACAGAGACGATGCATTACCGGCCTCCTGTCGGAAAGCGGAACGAAGAGGGAGCGGTCCAGCAGACGGATGGCGGGCTCTGCAGGGGGATAGCGCTGCGAAAGACGGTGCACGATGTCCCTAAAAACCGAGGTTTGTGCGAGCTTCGAGAAATCTCGAGGGCGCGTTCCTGGGGTCTCGCAGATCGGTTCCCTAGGTGGTGGGGGTGGTCTGAGGCTAGGGTGCGTTGGCTTGCGAGTCCCAGCAGGATGCTCGTCAAATCCTGGCACGCCCTGGACATCTCTGAACGGCGGATCGAGGACTCTGGGAGCTAAGGGATTAAGAACTCTGGGAGCTGAGGTATGCGTGACCTTGGGGGTCGAAGAAGCTAAGGGAGGGTTCGAGATGACTCCCGGACTCGTGGAAAGGCCGTCTTTTCCCAACGACGACGATGACGCACCTGGGGGGGCTCCTTCTTGGCCTGTTTCCTGGCAAGTATGGCCCTGATCTTAGCTTGCCGGGAAAATAAACGCTGTAAACTGCGTTTCTGCCTCGGCTCCCTGCGCGTCTTGCTCATTCCGTTTGAGAACGAGTCACTCGGCTGCATGGGGATTTGAGTTTGCCCAGAGGTGCGCCCAAACGTGCCCTATTAAAGGGATGGTCACGGAGGGTAAACTCCCCTGGCCGGTGGGACTCGTGCGAGGCCTTGCCACCTGCCTAGGGGATGACCCTGGAGTTGGTCCTGAAAAGGGCCTTTTGGATTCGGCGTTTGCCGAAAGGAGAAATAATGGATGTTTAGGTGCGTAGGATGAAATAAATAATTATACCACACTGGTAGTATATAAATATCACTATAATGTTGAGTTGGAATGGGTGTGCTATGTGTAGAGGAACACTACAGAGTACCGCGAGTGATGCACGCGCGTACTAAAGGAGTTGACGATGTTCACTCGACGAGACGTTGTGTCCTTCTGGTCATTCGCGGGGGTGCAAGGATGCACCACCGAGCCAGGCTTTTGCTTCTCACTTTTGCTTGCTTCTCACGAGAACACTCATTGCTTTTGCTCGTCGTAGAGGGAAAAGAAAAAGCGGAAATATGGTGGAAAAAAGTACGCGCGCGGGCATGCTACAAAAAAGGCCCAGCCGAAAAGGTTCGGCTGTCGTTTATTGCACTATGTGCTCAATGAGCTGATCGTTTGTCGGACACCATAAAATATAAATCGTAAATCGACTGAGGTGTTGATTTACGATTTATCGGAAAAATTGAGAGAAAGGTTGAGGAACATGTGCGGTGCAAATTTTGGAAAAGTCTGCGACCCCACAGTACCCCCTTGCCAGTGATGAAGTCATGAAAAGAAAGTACAAATAGTGATGATGAACGCGTGAAAATGAATGATTATCATACTACAGTAAAATTAATTGAAACCAGCTTGATAACGCTCTGCGAAACGTACACGACGTGTGGATCTTCGGATAGCTGGTTGTTGTCCGTTGTTTTCATGAGCTGTCGGTAGCTGTTGTTGTTGCTGCTGAGGAACTGGCTCTTGTTGCTGCTGTTGTTGGGGCAGTGCCTGGTGATAACGTATTAAAAAGAACTCGTCTTCCTCGTCGTTCTGATGTGGGTTCTCTGGAGCATCTCCGAGAACGAAGGCTGGCTTGAGTCTATCGATAGAAACGTTGGCTGTGTGACCGTTGAATTGCAGCTTATACGTTTTATCCGATCGAGTCAGCACGAGGAATGGTCCATCGTAAGGCATTTGGAGTGAAGTTCTCACAGCGTTGCGGCGAACTAAAACGGATTTACACGTTTCCAGGTCCTTGAAAATAAAGGTATTTTGTTCGCCATGTGATTTTTCAGGGACTGGTCGTATCTTCGTGAAGTAGTTGCGCAACTCAGTCACGAAAAAAGCTGGGTCATTGTTGTTAGCTGTTGAAGCTACGAGCAGTTCCCCTGGAAGGCAAAGTGGCTGTCCGTACACGATGTCGGCTGCTGTGGCTGCGGCGTTCTCGCGCCATGCGGCGCGTATGCCGAGAAGCACAGTTGGGAGAGCGCGAGTCCAGCTGTCGTTCTCGTGGCATCGAATCGCAGCTTTTAGTTGCCTGTGAACGCGCTCGATCATGCCGTTCGCTGCGGGATGATAAGCAGATGTGCGCAGGTGGGTCGTACCTGTCAAACGACTAAGCGCATTGAACAGGTATGACTCGAATTGTCGGCCTTGGTCTGTTGTCACTCGAAGCGGCGTGCCAAAGCGACAAATCCAGCCGTTGTAGAAGGCTCTTGCGACGGTCTCGGCCTCCTGGTCTGGCATCGGGAAAGCTTCTGGCCAGCGAGAAAACCGGTCGATGCAGGTTAGGCAGTATCTCTGTCCTTCTGACGGTGGCAGCACGATGATGTCGATGTGTACGTGCTCGAACCTGGGTGTGAGAGCCTGTGCACGGTGTCGAAGGCAATTCGTCGGAAAGCTGGTGGCATGTATGGACGGGCTATTGCAGTTGAGTAGTCGCAAACCAACACAGTATCGCTCCCTGGCAAGCGCATTCCTTTGAGTTGAAGAGAAGTGTTGGAAGCTTGCAAGCTTTTGAGCTCTGCGTCTTCTTTTTGTGCTTGCGCTACAGCCGTGTAGTCGAGTATTGCTGCTACTTCTTCAATTCTTGAGAGTGCATCAGCTACGACGTTGTCTTTACCAGAGATATGCCTAATGTCCGTAGTAAATTGACCTATAAAATCCAGCTGACGACCTACACGGGGTGAAGCTTTTTCGAGCTTTTGATGAAAAGCAAAGGTAAGCGGCTTGTGGTCAGTATAGATGGTGAAATCACGTGCTTCCACCATGTGGCGAAAGTATTTTACTGCAAGATAGCAAGCAAGAAGCTCTCTATCGAAGGTGCTGTACTTGGCTTTAGCAGGGCAGAACTTTTTCGAAAAGAAACCCAGCGACTCCCAGACGCCGTTGACTTTCTGCTTGAGAGCTGCTCCTGCGCTGAAGTCCGATGCGTCGCTGAAGATCGCAAGCTCCGCGTTCGTTTTCGGGTAAGCCAGTAGTGCTACTTGCGCTAGATCTTGCTTGAGCTTCCTGAAGCTCGAGATTGCGCGAGGTGTCCAAGTAAGCTTGGCCTTGCCCTTTATGTTGTCGACGAGCATGTTATTGAGTGAAGCTTGAGTTTCAGCGGTGTTTTGAAGAGTAGTCCTGAAGAAGTTGACCATACCGAGGAATCGGCGTAGTTCCTCTGCTGTTGTTGGACGTGGAAAGTCCTGCACCTCCTTGACTTTTTCAGATGGGGGAGTAACTCCTTGGCTAGTGACGCGATAACCTAGGAAAATTACCTCTGCCTTTCCCAGAACACATTTTTTTGTGTTGATTACGATGCCGTAATCGTTGAGGCGCTTGAAGACGATGCGCAGATGCTGCAGGTGCTCTTCCTCGTTGGTAGAAGAGATTAAAATGTCGTCCAAGTATGAGTGCGCGAAGTCCAAACCTCGAAGTACTTCGTCAACGAAACGCTGGCAGGTTTGCGCTGCATTACAAAGTCCAAAGGTTATGAAAAGAGGGTCGAAAAGGCCAAATGGAGCGATGATTGCAGCTTTCTCGATGTGTTCTTCGGCTATTGGTATCTGGTTAAACGCTCGCACCAAGTCGATTTTGCTAAAAATCTGCTTGTCGCGAAGCTGCATAGCAAAATCGCCAATGTGCTGAACCGGGTATATCGGTCTGGGATGGTGCGCGCATTGAGAGCGCGATAGTCACCGCACGGTCTCCACTCCTTTTCGTCCTTTGGTACCATGTGAAGTGGGTATGCCTAGCTGCTCGAGGATGATCTCATAACGCCGCGCTGAACCATTTCGTCGAATAAGTCGCTTGCTGTTCTAAAGCGATCGTGTGCAAGTCGGCGCGGTCTACTCCAAACAGGTGGGCCTGGGGTAGTCATGATGTAGTGCTTCATATCGTGCTTGATAACAGGTGCTCGACCGTCGGGGAGTGTGATGTCTGGGAATTCGGCGAGCAATTTGTCATATTTTCTGGTACCTGTGGAGACGACGACTTTAATCGTTGGAGTGTCGCACGCAAACAAACGTCCTTGTGAGATCAGCTTCGTCTTCCAGTCTATAAGCTGGTTCTCTTGTAAATCGACGATTAGGCCGTAGTGTGCGAGAAAATCGGCACCAATGATTGGCTTTGTGACTTCCGCGATCATGAATTTCCAGTTGAGGTCGCGCCGCAGTCCGAAGTTGGACGAAAGCTCTGCTGTACCATACGTATGTATAACAGAGCCATTCGCTGCGGAGAGCTCGTAAGTTGCCTTTGTGAGCTTGTGTGAAACCATTGAGCGCGGAAGTACAGAGATGTCTGAGCCCGTGTCAATTAAAAAACATTTGTTTGTCCTCCTGTCTGTTAAAAATAGTCGGCGCGAGGAGGTGGCCGAGCTGCTCGCCGCAGCTATTACTCGGCCTTGAAGTTTAGGTGCATTTTGCAATTGCCGAAACACTTCTTTGCTTTGCTACCGAACGTATGATGGTACCAGCACATATCACTAGGCTGTGGAGTGTGTGGGCGTGAGCGAGCGTGAGAACGCGATCTTGAGCGGCCGTTCTGTTGGTTATTATGTCCGTTCAAAGCACGAAGAGAGTGCACTTCTTGACGCAGAGCGCGAATCTCATCTTGAAAAATGAGACTCATCTGAGACAACTTTAGAATAAAATTAATGTTCTTAAAGTCGATTCGGACGTTGACAAAGGTTGTACGGGTGATGGATCTCCGGGTGATGGACCATCTGGAATTGTTGGGTCTCCCTGAGACCTCGATGTTGTCGTCCGACGGCAGAGCCACTTTGGCTTGACGGGGTAACGACCACCTGGTCGTAAATGATCTCCTGATCATTGGGGCAGATAATCCTGGTCGTGATCGTGTCTCTGGTGCTTGGCCGCCTGGTCGCGGTCATCTGAAGGGATGATCACCTGGTCGTGACCATACCTTTGGCGATTGGCCGCCTGGTCGCAGTCATCTATTTTTTTAGGTGTTGGGCAGGAGCTCGTAGGAGGACTGCGATCGTCCGATCGTGGTTGTCCAGGTCAATCTCCTTTTCGTCCGATGGGAAGATTACCGGCTGACAAGGGCGACGAGGACCAGGTTTGAGTTGACTGGCATGGACCGTTACCTGGGCGCCTTGTCGATTGATGGCGAAGATATCGCTGCTTAGTTTCTGATCGATCTCAAATGGTCCTTCCCATTTTTGAGCGAATCCATTGTGGAACTTGGCAGCGGCATTCGGGAGGGGATGGCTCCGAGCGTAAATCAAATCCCCTGGCTTGTACGTCGTTTCTTTATTCTCGGAGTATTTCTTCTGCTACTGATGCTGGTTCTCCTTGATCTGGGAGATTCTGTGTTCCCACATTGGCGAGGGTAACAGGGTTCGCTCGTGGATGGTAGATGGCCGTGGTCTAATGCAATGCCTGCCATTCCCTGCAAGCTTCGGTCCATTCAGCACTTTTAAGTTGCGGTCCGTTATCTGAGAGGATCGCTCTAGGGTATCCCCACTTTGAGAATACTTCGTCTGTCAGATGTCGCGTGATGATGTGGGTCTCCGATGAACGTATACTGAAGGCCTCAGTCCATCGGAAAAAAAGATCGGTCACCACAAAAATGAAGCGCTTTCTTCGGGTGATTAACGGGTAGGGGCCCATCAAGTCCACCGAAATGGTGTCCCAAGGTGCTGTAGGCTGATGCGGCTTTAATCCCATGGCTTGAGTGGGCGAGGATTTCATACAGGCGCCGATCTGGCACTCGCGCACATACTCTCACTTCTTGAGTTATCCGAGGCCAGAAGAAGTGTTGTTGGATGGTACGAAGAGTCTCTTCGGCTTCGGGATGTCCCGCTATGTAGTTGTCATGATACTCATAGAGGATCCGCTGTCGTCCAGCATCAGGAACTCGGAGTAGCCATCGATCTTGGTAGTCCACCCATAAGGCCCCCTCCACCACGTTATAGCGATCGAAAAAACTTTGTTCTTCCTGCTTAAGGTCTTCTCTTCTATTTAAGTCGAGAAATCGAGTGACGATACGTTGTAGTTTTGGATTTTCCTGCTGCATGACTAGAATTTCTTCGAAGAGGCCTTCGTTGGTGGTTAGTAGAAGTATGGGGCCTTCGTCCGTTGTTGGTCCCTTGTTCATGACCGGCGGCAGAAGTCTTTCCTGGTCATCCAAAGGTTCGTGTGCTTCATCTTGTGGTTGTTGAGAAAGGGAATCAGGTAGCTCGTTTAGTTTTCCTGGACAATGTTCTACTTTGAAGCTGAACTCCGGGAGTAGTAGGGCCCATCGCTTACATAAATGGCTTGTCTTCTAGGTAAGGCCGAAACTTCTTTACACTCCAAACGATGGCTAGGAGTTCTTGTTCATTGCAGTGGTATCTTTGCTCCACTGGGGAGAATTTTGCACTGGCATAAGCGATGATGCGTCTGGAGCCATCTTTTTTCTCTTGATAAAGGACACTTCCCATGCCTTTAGAGCTAGCGTCTGTTTAGAGGATATACGGGTGATCCGGTAGAGATCGAGCTAGCTTGAGCGGTTGTTTAAACGCCTCCTTGGTCGATTCGAAGGCGGCATCCACCGTCTTGGTCCACCGAAAACTCCTTTTGCCTCGTAGCAAATTTGTCAAAGGGGCCATGATGTCGCGAGACCTGGGACGTACTTCCTTAACCAATTACAAGCTCCGATGAAAGCTTGCAACTGTTTCTTGGTGGTGGACACTGGAGTTTCGATAATTGAGCGAAGTATTCCGGCTTGGCTTCGTTCCGTGGGCGTGATGTTGAAACCAAGGTAGTCCAAACTGGTTAGACTAAACTGACATTTTCTTGGTTCGGCTGTGAGTCCATGCAAACTCAAGCCTTCCAGAACTAATGCAATAGCTCGAAGATGTGTTTCCCAATCCTTAGAGTAAATTAGGACGTTGTCTAAATATACCTCGCAGAACTTGTTGATGTAATCCACCAGAATCTCTTGAGACATGAATCGCTGAAAGGTTCTTAGAGCTCCCTTTAAACCAAATAACATGACCTTGAATCGATAAATACCGCCAGATGGAGTAGCGAAAGTGGTATATCTCTTGGCTTTTTCTTCCATGGGTATCTGCCAATAACCACTTTTTAGGTCTATTTTGCTGAATATGCGGGATTCAGTGAGATCTCTGACGGTGTCCGCTATTCGTGGTATTGGCTGTGCGACGTCTTCCGTGAGGGAGTTAAATCGACGGAAATCGATGCGGAATCTGTCTGTTCCGTCCTTTTTCTTGGCTAATACTATGAGAGAGCAGTAGT